CGCTACTCATCTCAGATCCCACTTATGGGACCACATTGAGTTTGTTCTTATTCTTGTTGTAATTTAGCATCATACATTAAACTAAGACGAACTTAAATGGATCAGCGGCATGAATTTTGAGGATTCATATTGTCGATCCGGACTTCTTAGAATTGATGCATAGTTATTGTTGTTGTACTATAAAGTTGATATGTTTTGTGTTAAGTTTGTTTTAGTAGGAGTAAGAAAAAAGTGGGATGATTATGCAAGCTTTAATCTCTCTAGAATTGGTAAGTGTATTTAGAATAATGATGTATGGTGATTAGTCTTCAATAAGGTTTCAATATGTAAGTGCTAGCTATTCCCCTTCTTAAAGAAACTTGAAGGTGATATAATTGTCCTTCCTTTCTTAATTTTGCACCCATATTCAGTTTCATGAATTGATTAGATGGAGTAAATTTCAATGAGCCAAATTATTGATGCAACAAGGTCTTTAGGAAGCACACACTTACCAGTTTCCTTAATTCTGCAGCCCTTTTATTGTTTTTAAATGATAAAATGGTGTTCAGGCTAGTTTTCACGTGCCTTGACTATTCGGTTGTTGTCTCTGACCAACACACATATTAGATAAATCTGTCTAACAATTAGACAGATGAGAAATAAGCATCTAGCAATTTTTTGTCTCCGCTGGAATTTAAATATTGATCACCCATGGTCGGGGGCTGATCTACCGTACGTCATGCAGATTCACGTTAACCATGGGCGGATTTATAGGCTAATATGTAAGACACATGAACCCATGGTCTTTTCGCCAAACTAGATATTTTATGTGCATATTTTCTAAAATTGATCTAATGTTATCTGCGGGCATCCATGCTCCAAAGAGGCTAAATATTGCACTTGATTGAATGTTGAGTTATTTATCTAGAGGAGCAGGGATCAATTCCTACTTAATACTTTCTTTTTTCCCTTCTGTTTAGTGGTGCACCCATGTAATAAAAATCTTAGATCCGTCTCTGACGTTAACCTAGTAACTTTTGTCCAGACAGTGTATGTGTTAAAAATATCTATAATTACATAACAGTGAACTCATTTATTATTGTAAATTTAGTTAAGTTATCGTCATGGGCGGATGGATCTTAAGGTTATCGGGTTCAACTGAACCCAGTATTTTCGACGCGGAGTATAAATTTATGAGTAAAATCACTAAAATTACAATAAATAATAGATATGTACCCATAACTTTAAGAATATAATAAATTCAATGTCAAGAATCTTGAAGGTTGAACCCATGAAGCTTAAACTCTGGACCCGTCTCTGGTTATCGTGGGAACCCATAAACTTCAAATCTTGAATCCGCCTCTGCCCATCATTTTCACCCACTTGAGTGACCATTAGGCCACACTCACACTCTTGAGTGCAATTCTTAACCTCTCATCAATAAAAGATGAGTCAATGCAACTTGCCTGATTGACGTGCGATGCAGATTTGAATCTTGCATTTGTTATTTATCAGTCACTAATATAGATGCAATTATGCAAATAATGGAGCAAACTATTTATAGTTCAAAGGGTACTTTCACGAACAAATCTGAACCATGCTCATCAATGATAACACATTCTTTTATACTAATACAGAGCTCATAGAGCAAACTCCGTGTAGTTAAGCTACTGCAACTGAAGAACCAAGAAAGACAAAAATGTGACTCTCATTCTATAACAATGTGAACTCCTTAGATCCATTTATAATGAAAACGTATCCGCGAACGGGGCTCCTAGGCCAGGACGTCTGACATAATAATTTAGAAAAGGCGAAATTGGATAACTTCTTTGGCTTTACTGAGACTTTAGTAGTGTGTCCTCTCTGCAATAGAGAAAGCCTTCTTACCGGTTCTCTCCATCCGATCGATAGTAAGAGCCAATACCTTCTAAAGAAGGAATGGCTAATGCTGAACAGCTGCTAGCTCTATCTCAAAGTGTATATGTGTAACGATCCGACCGGTCGTTTTGAATATTATAACCCCGTTCTCCCATTTATTGCTTAATTTATGCCTTACAATTGATTTATGACTTATCGGGTTAGTTGGTTCGGGTCCAGAAGGAATTTGGAGTGAAATGAGACACTTAGTCTCATAATTGAAAATTTTAAGTTAGAAAAGTTGACCGGATGTGGATTTATGTGTAAACGATCTCAGATTTGAATTTTGATGATTTCAATAGCTCTGTATGGTGATGTTGGACTTATGAGCGTGTTCGAAAAATTATTTGGAGATCCGTAGTGGAATTTGGCTTGAAATGCCGAAAGTTGAATTTTTGGGAAGTTTGACCGGGGGTTGACTTTTTGATATCGGGTTCGGAATCCGATTCTGAAAATTGGAATACCTCCGTTATATTATTTATGACTTGTGTGTAAAATTTGAGATCAATCGGACGTGATTTGATAGGTTCCGGAGTCGTTTGTAGAAATTAAAATTTTCAAAATTTATTAGGCTTGAATTGGGGTGTAATTCATGGATTTAGCATTGTTTGAGGTGATTTGAGGGTTCAACTAAATTCGTATGATGTTTTAGGACTTGATGGTATGTTTGGTTGAGGTCCCGGGGTGTTCAGGTGAGTTTCGGGAGGTTAACGGATCATTTTTTGGACTTGGCATGTTGGCTGAAGACTGCTGGTGTATTTTTCTAGTTTCCTTCTTCGCGTTCGCGAGTGGGCCCTTGCATTCGCGAAAGGGGAATTTGAGACAGACAAGATTTACTGTTCGCGTTCGCGAGTGGGCCCTCGCATTCGCGAAGAGGAACTGAGTTGTTCATCGCGTTCGCGCTTGGGTATCGCGTACGCGAAGGGAAAAATAGTTGGCATGGATTTTTGCCTTCACATTCGCGAAGAAGGGCTCCATAAAGCATCGCGTTCACGAACAGTGTCTCGCGTTCGCGAAGAGCAAATGTTGGGCAGCACGATTTTGTGCTTCGCGAACGCGAGGGACCTGTCGCATTCGCGAAGAAGAGAGGTCTGGACAGAAAGTTTAAGTTCTAGAAATGGGACTTCGTCCTATTTTCTATTTTTAACGATTTAGAGCTCGGATTGAGGCAATTTTTGGGAGATTTTCAGAGGAAACAACGGGGTAAGTGTTCTTAACTCAATATTGGTTAAATTACCCGAATTCATAGTTGTTTTTATCATTTAATTGGTTAATTAAGTTGAAAAAGTTTGAAAACCCTCTTGGATAAATTTGAGGATTTGAGGGCCGAATTTTTATTAGAATCTAGTAATTTTGGTATGGTTATACTCGTGGTTGAATGGGTGTTCATATTTCGTAACTTTTGTCGGGTTCCGAGACGTGAGCCCCAGGGGCATTTTTGAGCTAAATTTCGGATTTTTATGGAAAAATTGTATTTTCATATGGAATTAATTCTAATAAATTTTATTGACTGAAACGAATTATTTGTGACTAGATTCGAGGCATTCGGAGGCCAATTTGTGAGGCAAAGGCATAGCAGAGTAAAGAATTTCACGTTTTGAGGTAAGTAACAGTTTTAAATCTGGTCCTGCGGGTATGAAACCCAGGATTTTGTGTCATGTGATTATTTTGGAGGTGACGCACATGCTAGATGAATGGCGTGTGGGCGTGCACCGAGGGGATTATGACTTGGTCTGTCCCGTGGAAACTGTAAAGTTGAATAACTTGTCGATAGCTAATGTGCTCTCTATGTGTTGTGGAAATTTGACTATAGGTCATGTTAGAAACCATGTTTAGGCTATATGTTGGTATTGTTGGAACCCACAAAGGTCATGTACATGTTGAACTATCTGCTTAATTGTTGTTTGTACTCAGTCACAGTTTACTTGATTATTTTATCTCAGTCTTTATTATTTATTATTGATGCATTATATCATTGTTGTTTGGGCTGATTTCATGATTTCTGAGAGCACTGAGCGAGGCCGAGGGCCTGATTGTGAGATATTATACTATAGCACGTGAGTTGTCCGTGCAGCACATGAGTTGTCCGTGCGGATCCTTATATTATATTATAGCACGTGAATTATCCGTGCAGCACATGAGTTGTCCGTGCGGATCCTTATATTATACTATAGCACGTGAGTTGTTCGTGCAGCATGTGAGTTGTCCGTGTAGATCCAGATATTTATACTATGGCACCCGAGTTGTCCGTGCAGCACGTGATTTGTCCGTGCAGATTATAGCGCTTGGGCTGTAGGAGCCCCTCCCGAGTCTGTACATTCCCAGTGAACGCGGGAACCCATTGAGTGTGGGTGTTGAGGGCTGAGAGTCGAGTGGTTGAGCTGTTGTGACGAGTTGAGTGACTGTTGCCTGAGGGGCTGTACTTGCTTTTCATTTGTTGTTGCATTTAGTTGTTATCTGTCATTGTTGTGAAATTCTCTGAAAGATTCTATATCCGGATTACATGAACATGAACTGTATAAAATTAATTTGACTTAAACTGCCGGATTTGAAAGCATGTCTTTTCTTTGCTGGAATTACTGGAAATGAACCATAATTGTGTAGCTCGTCACTATCTTCAATTCCTTATTTATTATTGTTACTTGCTGAGTTGGTTGTACTCATACTATACCCTGCACTTCGTGTGCAGATCCAGGTGTTCCTGGACATAGCAGGTGTTGATTCTTTCGCACAGTTAATTTTCTGGAGATTCAAAGGTAGCTGTCGTGTTTCGCAGACCTTGCATCTCCTTCCCTATCTCCTTATTTACAGTATTTGGTCTCAGACTGTTATGGACCGTATTTTCCAGACTTGTATTCATATTAGATGTTCATGTACTCAGTGACACCAGGTTTTTAGGAGTGGTTGTATCGGTATTTGTAAGATTTGTGGATTTTATTTAAATATTATATTTTCAAACTTAAAAGAAATTGTGGTTTACTGAGATTTTCGGCTTGCCTAGTTTCGAGATAGGCGTCATCACTACATGTTAGAATTTGGGTCGTGACAATATGTTAAGAGAAAACGCGAGAAGTGAGTCTACAAACTCAGTGAATAGATAACCATCCATAATTGTTGGAATAAAGTGTTGAAACACAACATGCTATGCAATACTGCAAATTTAATAGTGGATATCTCTTGTATACTGATAGCTGAAGTTGTATTTGAAACTCTATCTGGTGCTGTAGTTTAGAAATTCACATTTGAATATGTATTCTGAGTTCTGACTGAACGTATCTGAATCTATGATACGTATCACGACTATAACTGAAGTCTGTGCTATACCTGTATTTGAGGATAATCACATCTAAAGAGTCTGTTACCATGTGTACCAGGCGTTCTATCTCGATGATCCAATCCAAACCTGATTGACTAGGTATCCATACGCCCTCGTGTGTACTTCTTCTAACAACATCTATTTAGCCAACCCGATCAGCAAGGTATTCGATCAAAATTATGATCATCCCCGGTACACAAAGCATTCTGCATTCACTTCGGGTCCGTAGAAGGGCCGCACCCTAAGGGGTGTATTGTAGACCGCCTACCCTAATGCAAGCATTAGTGGCTGCTTAAGAAAATGCATATGATCATTCCTTTCCATATGAAACAGCCAGTTGACAATCTGGATATTCAATCTTCATTCTTGATACAGATATGTTTTCCTTAATTTGCAGCTTGTTCCTGTACAAGTTAACTGGAGAAGAAATGCTAGCAGAAGCAACAATCAACGCTATGGCAGCAATTCTTGTTGTACGAAACCAGTTCCACGGATTAAATAAACCTCTTATGCAAATGACCAAGAAACTTGAACTTGTCTTCTTTTTGTTCTCATCTTCAATTTTCTTATCTATGCTTTCTGCCAAATTCTCAGGAAATGCAACTTTTCCTTCAACTAAACACTCTCTTAATTCTTCAATTAAGTCTAGTTTACTTCCCCATGTTGGATACTTGTTTATTTTTTCTAGCAGAAGCATTCTGCTTTCTTCCAAACGGGCAACTGCTCCATTGTATAGTCTCTGCTGCCGTGACTGTAATGTCTGCAATGATTGGACAACTACAAGTTAAATAATTACCTAGTTTTGCACAAGCAGTGTCGACCTATTGTCCTAACTCGTCTTACAAGTGAATTTGAGTCTCTAACTGTGGTGGTTTAAGATTTTACTTTGTGTTCTAAACTGATATTTAATTTGTATTATTTTCAAGGAGTGTCTATCTATTGTATATACACATATTCATTTTTTATAAAATTCTGGTTACACACATATACAAGTAATTATCATATTTTTTCTGCAAAACTGTGACGGATGACACCCCTTAATAAAGGGCAGCTCTTGCTGATAGACATAACACACTTTTATATATTTAATTATGCCTCCAATACTGCCTCTCATATGCGAGCAATGACGGCATCATGATCACCGGAAGGAGTTCAATTGGATCCCCTTCTTTGGAAAATTGTACTACCCTAATAGGGCATAAATAATTTTTTATATATATACAGTCAGACCTCTCTATAACAACATCATCATATAACAGTCATTCACTATAAAAGTCAAGTTTTTTATGAAACTAATTTTCATGCTATAGCCAAAAGAGTTCGGACTAGAGGTTGTTATAGAGATATTTGATTGAATATACGTTAACTCCTGAATCGTCTTGCAGTGGCAAAGGTAGTTTAATGCCATTGTATGCCGGAGACTCGACCTCAAGACCCATTCCTTGTCAAATATTCGTTGAATTGTGTGTGACCATCTCATCTAAAACTGCAAGTTATTAAAAATATCGGATACTTTTTTATACTTAATTATGTCTTCGAAGTCTCAACTAATCATGCATTTAGAATAAATTAACAAACAAAAAAAATGAATTCATTTTAGACAAAAGAAAGTAACCAAAAGTAAAACCTGGTAGAACTCAAGCATGTTCTGAATTTCCTTCAATGAGTCTCGAATGGCAATCAATTTCTCCTTATCTTCTATTCTGAGGTCTGCAATTCCACAGTAACGACCATGTTCAGCACAATCTCTACAGAAATGTAATCCTTCATAATAGATTTTTTGAGTGATTTTATCATGTAAAATCCCTGCTCTCTCTGTCAGAATATGCAAATCTTTATTAGTATTTTTTATCTCCATATAATATACAATAATATCAAAGCAAAAGAAATGCACCACCAATCAATTCATTTTATACTTAAAAAAAGCTTACTTGCCTTTGCTTTTTTCAGATTTCATTGGTTGGGAATATTTTTTAGACCAATTGGAATGTAAGGTAGAGTTCTTTTCCTTCTTTAGTGGTCTGAATTTGGTGTTTAAACTAATCTGTTTTGTTTTTTTGTTCACTTTTTTTCTCTTTTTTGCATGTGGTATTCCTTTAATGGCAAGTCTGTCTGCTGCTGAAACCCTTCGCTGTTTCCTGTCCCACAAATGTATTACAGGTATGGGTGGTAAGTGGGCCGGCCCGGGACCGCGGGTCAAACGGGCGTTTTAGTGGGTCTGGGCCTGTCATATGACTTGGGCCCGTCAGGCCCGGGACCGGCCCGATCCCTTAACGGGTCAAACCGGCTATTTTTTAAAAAAAAAAACAATATAGCCGTTGGCTATTTATAAAATAGTCATTTAACCCC